TTTTTTCAGTGTTTAGGCATGAAAAAGTTGAGTGACTTTTGTAAAAAAATTCGTTATTGTAAATACATAAAAAAATGTGTTTTTTTTAAACCAATTAAAATGCTTTACGATGAATTTTTTTAGAACAAGTCTACGATGAGTAGTTTCCAAGTTTTTGACCCATTTTAAACGTTATTTTGTGATGCATTTTTAGAATACTAATAATTTCTTTTTTATCACTGTTCAAATAAAAAAAGTGTGTCACAGGGGGGATGAGAAAATTGAGTGAATTAAAAAAAAGAATTCGTTATTGGAAAAAGAAATTTTAATTCAAATAAGAGTTCAAAATATGTGTTTTTTTGGAACCGGTTAAAATGCTCTATGACGAGTACATTTGCCACATTTTGAACGTTTTGTGATGAATTTGGAATAGTAAAAACTTCTTTTTTTAGTGTTCAAACAGAAAAAAATAGAAATGTGTCACAGGAAGGATGAGAATATTGAGTAACTGTTGTAAAAAAAAATCGTTATTGTAAAAACATAAGAAAATGTTTTTTTTAAACCGTTTTCGAGATTTTGACACATTTTGTAATGAATTTTTGGAATACTAAAAACTTTTTTTTTCAGTTCAAACAGAAAAAAACGGAAATTCGTCACAGGAAGGATAAGAATATTGAGTAACTTTCGTAAAAAATTTCGTTGTTGAAATACATAAAAAATTATTTTCTGTTATTTGATTTTTTAATTATTGATATAGTAAATTCAGTCAATAATGATGACACTTTTTTTTGTATTTTTTGAGCATTTTGTACGTTTTTTCAACCATGCAGAAACTCATACTAAATTTTCTCAAAAACAAGTTGAAAAATCGGGGGACAGTTTTGTTTTTTTTAAATGATATTTTATTCAACGAGGTAAAAAAAAATTGCTAAAATGTGTCAAAAAGTATATCATTTTGTCCATTTCTGAGCGTTTTAGTATGTTTTTAGCTAGAAACAGAACTCTTTTGCAAAATTTCCTTAAAAACAAACCGAAAATTTATCAAATTAGGTCAAAACTAGTGTTATTTTGGCATTTTTAAAGTGTTTCAGAACGTTTTCAAAATACATTCAAATTTTTGCTAAAACTGACTGAAAAATTACGAAATTAGATTGAAAATTGATATCATTTTAGCGTGTTTCGCTCGATTTAGTTCGTTTTTGAACCAGAGACTCATTTATTTTGCAAGAAATTGTAAAACAACCTTAAGCACAACAAAAATAAATCTAAATGGATGTTATTTCGTTTGTTTCATTCGATTTAGCTCTTTTTGAGTGAAATTTTGTCAAGAAAATACAAAATATGGTCGAAAATGTTGTTAATTGCAAGATTTTGCTAAAACAAACCAAAAAAACATGAAATTAAGACATTATTTTTGCATTTTGCATGTTTTAGCATGTTTTTTAAGTAAAAACGTTAATATCGAGTGACTGTAAATGATTGTCATTTTTTACCCCAAATTGGTGTCAAATTTAAAATTTTAGTTTGGTAACCTTGACTTTAAAATTTAAATGTCAAACTTTTATACATATATAACAAATTTAGAAGGATTAATTCAGTGTTGCTAATAGATTTTTGTCATAAACATTAATAGTTACCCGGGATTTAGCAAAAATTCATTAAAAAGTAGCCAAAAAATAGCGTTACTATCAGATTTGTGAGATTTATGAGTCTTCGACAATATTAAAAAAAATAAATCATACAATATTGTATTCTGGTGAAAATAAGTGTAGTAACTTTTGAGCTCAGAACTTGCGAATTTAATTGTTTTGAGCTGGCAACACTGTTTCACATTGAAATCTGCATTATCACAGGTCTTCACTAGACCGTGCCCAAATCTCAAGATGATAATATTATTTGTATCGATTATCTGATTGTTTTGGTCGGTCTTTTAGCCGTTCTTGAATTATCACACCCACTCTTTACATAATCTCGCAAATTATGAAAACGGGCCAAAATACATCTGATGTCATCGTTGACTTCATACTATCACCAACACGAATGTAGCAAGGCCAGTTTTATCGAACTCGTCTCGCGGTTGTGAAGGTGGTACCAATTTATTTAAGGTAGACTTAGATAAGATAGTCGTGTTTCCAATATCCTGATAATTTAAAAAAGTTTTTTTTCTTGTTTAAAATAAAAATCTATTTATAATGTGGTTACGCCCGATGTGTTGGCAAATTGCCAATTGTTGCTTGTTGATATTTAGACACTTTTTCGGCTTGTTGTTCTAAAAATAAGTCAGTGTTTTTGGTTTTTAACATGCATGATGTATACACAATATCATCACTGACCCGGTTGTTCCGTAATGTACATACATTTTTACCACATTGTGTAAACACAATTTATTTTAGTTTGTCGTTATCGCGATGGACGTGCACAGGTATGTTTTTAAACTTATTTGCGCTATTATGAGTCAAGAAAAATTGTAGAGAATCTCACTTATTTTATGTTTTTTTTAGTTTTGTTACGGTATTGTAAGTTTACGATTCTAACGTTGTGTTTTATAAAGCGAATCTTTGCAAAAGTATTATTTACTGTAATTAAAAGGACATTAGTGTCCGAAAATTGCGTTTCAACGAATTAAAAAAATTGTTGTCGATTGAAGTTTTTTGAATAAATGTGAACGATCGATTTTCTGGTGTTGACAAAATGTCTCATTTTTATTAAACTCGAAGATGAAAATGTGTATTTATGTCGCAATAAAATTTCATCTACAGACACATCAAAATTCAAAAGAATAATCATTACCAATATTATTTTATTAATATTGAATTTAATGATTCAGTTTGAATTAATACCTATTTTCACCAGATTATATGATCTATTTTTTTTATTACGCTTTTTACACAAATCTCGCAAATTTGTTCAAAAATGTGCTTAAATGCTCGAAAAATGCAAAAATACACCAACTTGAGGTAAAAAATGCCAATCATTTACAGTCACCCGATGTTAACGTTAAAAAAAATAATGACTTAATTTGATGTTTTTTTTTAATTTTTATAGCAAAATCTTGCAATTAACACCATTTTCAATCATATTTTGTATTTTTCGTCCTATTTTTTTGACAAAATTTCACTCAAAAAGAGCTAAATCGAATGAAACAAACGAAATAACATCCATTTAGATTTATTTTTGTTGTGTTTAAGCATGTTTTGACAAATATCTTGCAAAATAAATGAGTTTCTGGTTCAATCTAATTTTGTAATTTTGTCAGTTTTTACAAAAACTTGAATGTATTTTAAAAACATACTGAAACACTCTAAAAATATTAATTAAGACTAGTTTTGGCCTAATTTGATAAATTTTCGGTTTGTTTTTAAGGAAATTTTGCAAAATTGTTCTGTTTCTTGCTAAAAACATACTAAAACGCTCAGAAATTAACAAAATAATGTACTTTTTGACCCATTTTATCTATCTCTCGATTTTTCAAGTTGTTTTTGAGAAAATTTAGTAATTGAGTTTCTACGTGCCTAAAAAAACGTTCAAAATGCTCAAAAAAATCAAAAAAAATTAGTGTCATCAATTTACTATATCAAAAATTAAAAAATCAAATTATAAAAGATAATTTTGCTAACATTTGGGCTAATATTCGATTTATAAAAAAAAACGAACTAAATCGAGCGAGACACGCTAAAATCATATCAATTTCAATCTAATTGTATTTAAAAACGTTCTGAAACACTTTAAAAATGCAAAAATAACACTACTTTTGAACTAATTTGATAAATTTTCGGTTTGTTTGTAAAGAAATTTTGCAAAATTGTTCTGTTTCTGGCTAAAAACGCTCAGAAATGGACAAATAATGTACTTTTTGACCCATTTTAGCGATTTTTTTTTACCTTGTTGAGTGAAATAACATTTAGAAAAACAAAACTATCTCTCGATTTTTCAAGTTGTTTTTGAGAAAATTTAGTATTTGAGTTTCTCAAACATTTTCGTGGATATAATATTGTTTTGCTTCTATTTCAACATTTTCAATTAAAAAAATAGTGTTACCGCTGAAAACAATTTAAATTAGAGTCTAATTTCAAACACACGACAAGAAAACAAATGTTTTTTGATTTGTTGATTTTAAGATTTCTTTCAATCCCCATTTTGCTTTACAATAGATGTTGAAAGATCGAAAGCATTTTGAAATCAATTAGATACAGAAAGACTGGGTTTTGGAATCTGTTTTTTGACTGGAAAATTAATGAACCTGTTGAGAGACTTTTCGACTGGAAACTTTTATTTAAAAGTTAACACGACGGAAAAATCGATCCTGAGATGGCATTGCCTCCTTGGGGAACTATAAACTGGCGAAGAGTCGCCTATTTTTTTATAATTTAGGTGTTTTCAGTTAGTTTTGTGGTGATTATTGGGTTGGAAAAATAATAATCTGTGTTGGCGCGGAAACATTAAAATTGTGAAATTGCTGAAGCATGTCTTTGGCTAAAAAAATTAAAGCTTTAATGTGTTTGTAAACATTTGTTTAATTAAATAAGGGAATAAGTTTGAGGTTGTAAAAAAGTGACACAAAATACCATTTTAAGTTGTGTGTCTCAGAAAAGACATTGACAATGAGTTAATTTAATCTAAATCTGTATCACAAGGTCGAGTTAAGTAATACTTGAGTAACTCAAAATTCTCCTGTGTTCATTGTTACTCATCTGTGAGTTGTTGAACAAATATACAGTGTCAATAGTGGAAAAATTACACTTTTTTACTATTCAAAGCGTTAAAATAATCATGGGTCAATAACATTTGAATTAAAATTCGTAAAATCAGTAGTGGGAAAGTTACAAATAATTAATTCTTCAAACGCGTGAAAGTTATTATCGAATCAGTAGATGACAGAGGATACTTTGTGTTTCCTTCCTGTTATACCTTCAAAGGAATTCATGACACCTTTATTTGAATGTAGCTTAAGTGAGTACGTTTATTGAATCAAATTAATTAAGTTTCTCTCTCAAATTTCATTAGAGTTATTTTCTTTGCAGAACCGAACGAGAAAAAGTACGAGTGACGTTCTTTCAACAATCAAAACCTCAAGAAGTCGATTTACCGGATGAACCTGTCGTTTTTACCGACACGGATTTCATAATGGCCACCACGGTAGCTATGAATGAAACGAATCATGTCGTTTATAATAGGACAGAAAGGTGAGTTTTTCATCTTAAATTATTATGTCATAATGTGGAAAAACTGTTTTCATGTTTCGTTGCCTTTTTATTAGATTTTTACGCTGATGAAATGAGTTATTGTTGTGGTTGAAGCGAGCAATAAAATGTGTTTTTATACAAAATCAATTAACAATCCACGGCGACGAAAAAAAATCTCTGTTTTTCCAAGTTTTTATCAATCATTATTAATATACAGGGTTGCTTTAAAATTACAAATAAATTATGTGAGTTTTATTTTTTTATAATGTTTGGGTATCTAAAGAAGATAGCCTCATTAAAATTTTTAAGAAAAAAATCTGGTGTGAACATCACACGACTTTCCTTATCCAACTTATTTGGAAAACATCAATTTTTTTTTAGTTTGGTACCTATTATTATTTTTATTTTATCACATTTTACTGTTTAATAAATTATATTTCATAATTTTAAATATATTGTATATTCAACCGTATAATTTTTGGTCTTTGCGGCCGAATGGTGCGACCGATTTTTACCAATTGTTTCGTGCTACGTCATAATATATAATTATTGTTAATTTTTTTCAATTTTAATACAGAATTAATTCAAATTTAATTTATTTTATAAAAATTATTGCTTCAATCTAAATTTTAGGCTGGAATAAAGCAATTTTTGCTATTTTCAAACCAATTTTGCCCGATTTAAGTATAGAATTAATGTATTTTATAAAAATAATAAATTTCTTCAATACTAATTTTAGGCTGAAATGAAGCAATTTGTGCTATTTCCAATCGATTTGGCTAAATTTTAAGGCGGAATCAAAGTATTTCAACAAAATAATAGTTTGAATAAGTTTTTTTTTCTAAAATAAAGCGATTTAACTATTTTCAAACCTCGATTTTAGTACAGAATTCATTCTAAATTTAAGTTTTTTATAAAAATAATTTCTTCAATCTAAATTTTGGGCTTAAGTAATTCTTTTGATACGGAAAGTAAAAATTGATTTAGCATAGGGAATTTTAGTTCTGTACCATTCAAAAACACTCCATAGAAAGGATATTTGTAAGAAGACGACAAAAAACACTATTCAAATATGAATGATGAGTTTAATTTTGAGAAAATACAAAAAATATGTTTCTAGAAAATTAGAAAGAAAAACTAGAAAACTCACTCAACCTTCAAAAAATTCAAAATTTATTTCATTTTTGATGTAATTTATTGACCATTTTTGTCGTGATTTGGTGATTTTTCGACCTATTGTGGACGAAATTTTGCATTTCTGACTGAAAAACACACCAAAACTCTCAAAAAAAGGCCAACGATATTTTATTTTCGACTGAATTTACTGATTTTACGATTCGTTTTCTAAAAAAACAAAATTTGGTTAAACGCTTAAAAAAGGCGACAAAAAATTTCTGGCTAAAAAACACACTAAAACTCTTGAAAAGCTGAGAAGAAAAAATACCATTTTTGTCGAGATTTTAAAAATTTGTGGTGTTTCTGGCTGAAAAACTCACTAAGGCTTTCAAAATTTCGTCATGTTTAACCAAACTTAGTGATTTTAGCAAAATTTTTCGAAACTTATTATTTTTTCTTAACCCAAAAACGTCTTAAGGCTCAATTTTTTTTTGCTTTTGTCGTAATTTCGTGAATTTTTAGCTTATTTTTGCCAAAATTTTGCGAAATTCTGCCTGAAGAATGCACTAAAACTTTCGAGAAAATCAAAGTTTATATTATTTTTGACCTAATTTAGTGGTTTTGGGCTTCCTTTTAACAGAATGTTTAAAAAAAAACTAGGTTTTTGGCTCAAAAACAGACTTTAAAGCTCAAACAAAGACAAAGAACACCGTTGTTATGAAGAGCTCAGAATTTTTTTGGCTTAATTTTGAGAAAATGCAAAAAATATGTTTCTAGNCTTCAAAAAATTCAAAATTTATTTCATTTTTGATGTAATTTATTGACCATTTTTGTTGTGATTTGGTGATTTTTCGACCTATTGTGGACGAAATTTTGCATTTTTGACTGAAAAACACACCAAAACTCTCAAAGCGATTTAACAAACCTTTTTTTTAGTTCTGTATCATTCAAAAACACCCCATAGAAAGGACATTTGTAAGAAGACGACAAAAAACACTATTCAAATATGAATGATTGCTTTTCAGTGTCAAAATTTCTCCACAGAATCGCACAATATGTAATTTCAGTTTATAAGAAGTTTTCAAAATAAAAGCATTTTTCTTTGAATAGAACGACTTTTTCTTGTGATGTTTTTCTTTGCGGTAATATAAAATTTATTACATATCCCGACATAAACGCTGTCTTCGCTATTTTGAGCCTGTTTATGTAGGATAAGTGCACCCAAACTTCGAATTTAATGGATTTTAATTATAGATGCTTGGTTTATAAATCTTTTCTTTTTTGTAAATTACAATTAGTTCACGAAATGCACTTTTGATGCTTTATCTTCCTCCAATTTAGAATTATCGGGCGTAAAAAAGCGGGTCGTTGACATTTCTGCAACAGTTGAGTGAAATGCCAGCAAGTCTGGTATTTCGTTTATCCGTCGGATAAGTGACATTTTCAAATCATCTAACTGTTGTGTGAGAATTATTTTAATTTGTTCGTAATGCACAAATGGCATAAAAGTGAGTTCTTAAAGCTTTAATTTCAAGAGAGTTGTAAATTAGTAAAATGATTACAATCTCCGCAGCACTCACTTTACTTGAAGCTCCTTTAATTAATTTCCACAGGATGGAAAAACTTGGAAGACATTATCTGGAATTGTAGGGGAATTTGCAATCACGATTTGCTGTGGTTCTGAAGGTTCGTAATAAAGAAATTAGTCATAGAAATAACTCTAGTGGTTAATTGATGAACTTTGATCCTAAAAATTGGTTGCTATGACCGGTTACGTGACTTTTTACAACAATTAAAATGCTTAAACTTGGCAACTCTTCTTTTATAAATGTATTCAAATGGTTTCAAGAGCAAGGTGATTTTTTTTTTTGTTTATAAATAGATAGTTTGCAACTATAATATATGAAATTATCTGCATAACGGTTTGCAGTCTTGTGTAATTTCTTAATAATTATGTTAACAACTATAAAAGTGGAAAATTATAGCTCGCCCAATAATCCTTTAGTCAGGTGCGCCTGATACAACTTAGTAATTTTTAATAGGGGGATTGGTATTTACGAGTATTTAAGATTCTAAAATAAGATAACTTTTTATAGCTATGACTTTTTACATAGTTTAGGGATCTGAAATATTTTGAAATTTTACAGGTAACACAATAATTACGTAGCAACATTAAGTATGTCGCAGACTATACATTGACTACAATTATTGTAATTGCACAGGAAGAGTTGCAGTTGTTCAAAGTTTGTATTAAGGTCAAAAATGTAGATGCCAATGTCAATGATAATGTTAGTAGTTTCACGACTACAGCTAACTAATTATTTAATTGTGTGAAAATGAGATAAATGAAGACGACACATAAATCTTTTTATCTTAGAAATAGGAAATTCGTAAAATTGCAAAATTAGTTTTTTCGAAGCCAATGAGGGAAACAAATTTAAATTTATAGTCCACTAAAACGATTAATTTTATTGCCAAATGAAGAATTAAATTTAAACTCATCATTTCTGCGTTCATTTGTACAAATTGTCTAAATATTGCCAATTTGTTGGTAACAGTAATTTTTTATTGCCAACTGAGCAAAGTAAAAATTTGCGATTTTGTTAACTAAACGGGAAAAAGATATGAATTTTTTAAAGCCAATTGAGGAAACGGATTGAAATTTATCATTTTTAAAAGTCGTATGACAGCTTTTTCTGCATTTTTTTTGGAATCGACTGAGAAAAAAAATGACGAAATAATTCCTTATCTAACATTAATTTTTTGTGACTAATTAGAAAAATAACTTAAATTCATTATTTTTGCGTCTTTTTCAAAACAAATATAAATTGAATTAAAATAGTTTTTTTTATGGCCAATCGATGAGGTTTTTGCAAAATCTTAAATTTGATTGGTTGGACACATTTGATAATTTATTGGTTCGATTACAAGGGCCAATAATAATCATTTCGCATTCACGTAATTACCACTAAGGTGAGCACAAACCGGTTTTTATTTGTTATTGGCCAAAATCCTACAAAAACCTAGCAACGATAAGTAACTCCACCCATTTAAAAAATCGTGAATAATTATTGATTTTTGAATCGAATTTTTATAACAAATCAGCGTTTAGTGTGAGTTATCTTTAATTGGATCTAATTTTGCACAATGGGTGGAGCCAACCCCAAAGCCAATATGAATCATGCATTTTCGATTATTAGACCAATAAAAAGTAAAAAAATATTTATTGCGTTAAAGTTGAGTGTCATTGGTCGATCCTTAGCCAATCAATTACGTCGTTTAAAATCAACCAATCAGAACACGTCTTAGATTTTTCGACAATAAAAAGAAAAATAATTAAAATTTTTGTTTTAAAAATTGGCTTCTTTGATTTTACTGTCAATACAAAAATAATTATTTGAAGAATAAACGATAATTAATTTTCTTTACTGTCAAATGTCCAACTGAAAATGTGTATTTAGTATATTGTGTACTAAATTTGTGTTTTGCTCAATTTTTGATTTAAAACCACCGATTTGAGTCGTTTTTAAGCGGTTTATATGGCAAATCCTTCACAAAAAAATGTTTCAAAAATCAATAATTCTGCAGATTGATTCTTTCCATACATTAGTGCAAAACTTAGAACAAAAATTCAAAATGGTAAAAAAAAACAAATTTTTGAATAAAAGATCGTTTTTTTGTTTTTTTCCCCAAAATCGGTCATTTTAATTACTACAATTAGCATTAATTTTGCTTTAGTCTCTTTCAAATGAAAGAAAAAATATTATTCTTACATTTATGTGCGGAAATTTTAGCTAATTAAGATGCTATTTACATACAAGTTTGTTTATTTTCGTGTAAATATTCTATATTTTATTGGTGTTTAAAGATAATTGTGTTTACTA